ACTCGTTCATCCAGTCCCAAATTAAGTTGGTTGAATTTACTTCGCATTAACCGTATGCATCCAACACTGAATACATCAATTGGACGATCGTACCAGAATCAGATCCTTTCATCTCCATGGATGACCCCAAATTAGCCAATGTGTCTGCTTCCACATTTTTCTCCCTCGGAATATGGACGATTGACCATTCTCTAAATCGTACGAGTAATACTTGAACCTTGTTCAAGTACTGTTGCATGCGCTCCTCCTTTGTGACGAAAATCCCATACAATTGGTTTACCACTAGATAGGAGTCACATTTTATCTCGATGACCCAAAACCTAGTCCCCGAGCTACTTGAAGTCCTGTAACCAAAGCCTCATATTCGGCTTCATTGTTAGTTAACAGTACAATTCTAATGGCTTGTTTTAGGGTTTCCCACGAGGGTGTGATTATAAATACCCCGAGACCGAACCCTTTTACGTTGAAGGATCCATCTATAAACAAGGTCCAAACTCCCGACGCCGTTCTCGATACCAACACTACTTCCTTAGCAGCCAAAGGCATTAGTCCCGAACTGAAATCAGCCACTAAGTCGGTCAAAACTTGTGACTTTATTGCAATCCTAGTTTTGTACTCAATATCGAATTCGCTAACTTCTACTACCCTTTTAGCCAAACGACCTGAAAAAAAAACCCCTAGAGCATCAAGTTTTGATCTGTGTTTTTAAGCCCAAAAGGCATCACATTATAATAATATGTGCCGAAGTTCGTGATGAAAGAAGTGTTTTCTTAATCTTTCGAGTTCATCCTAATATGATTACACATGGAATAAGCATCAAGAAAACTCATCAACTCATGCCAGTATGTAGCATCAATCATTTGATCAATGTTTGAAAATGGAAAAGAGTCTTTGGGGCATGCCTGATTCAAATCCTTATAGTCTACACAAATCCTAAATTTGTTATTATTCTTACACACTACTACTATATTAGCTAGCCAATCCGGATACTTTACCTCTCGGATTGAACCGATATTGAGTAGCCGGGTTACCTCTTCGTTAACAAACATGTTTCTAACCTCTGCTATTGGGTGCTTTTTTTGCCTTACCGGCTTAGAAGTTTGGATCCAGAATAAGTTTATGGACCGCTACCTCTAATGGAATATTTGTCATATCCGAGTGCGACCACGCAAAACAGTCAATGTTAGCTTTAAGAAAATTTATAAGTTCTAACTTGAGTTCGGCACTTAACCCCGTTCCCAAATAAAATTTCTTTCCAAAAATTCCTCGAACAAAGCCACTTGTTCGAGCTCTTCTGTGATCGATTTGGTCGCATCCATCTCCTCTGATACCTGAAAAGACCTCGGTACCTAATATAATTTTGATGACTCCCCATTTTTATCGTCTTTGATTTGGATCGGAGAAGGCATCAGTTCCTGTAATTGTTATTTCCTGGTTTTGCTGCTGGAAATGGTTACATCGTTCATTTCCCTTTCCACTGGTTAGTCTCTTCTTATTTGCTTGATCCCTTTTGGCGTCGGAAATTTCAACAATTGGTGATAAGTCGAGGGCACATCCTTCATCTCGTGTATCCACGATCTTTCGAGGATCACGTTATAGCCCATGTCGCCATCTACCACTTCGAACAAAGTCGTCTTTTTTACTCCTTCAGCATGTGTGTGTAGCAAAATTACTCCTCGCATAGTCACGCTTGTTAGATTGAAGCCAACTAGAAGTCTTGTCATCAGAATGATATTCTCTGTTAATATCACTTGCTTCAGAACTCTCCATTGTATGATGCTAGTTGAACTTCCTGGATCAACCAAAACACGCTTAATTTTAAAATCTAAAACATTGAGAGAGATTACTAAAGCATCATTATGTGGTAGAAGAAGTTTGTCAGCGTCCTCCTCCGTGAAGGTGATGTGATCTTCCGAGACTTCCCGGACCCTCTTGTCGTGAGTCACCGATATCTTCATTTTCTTTGCTGCTAAAAGAGTTACCCCGCTGACCTTGTATCCTATGAATATCTTGTTGATAGTCATCCCAGGTGACTCTGCTGCTGTCTTTGATGGCTCCGCATTGTCCCTGCTTCAACCATAATTATTTTTGGCGCGGTTACTTAAATACACTCTAAGATAGCCATTCTTTAACAATGCCGCCACCTCTTTGCAAAGATGTCGGCAGTCCCAGTTCTGTGGCCGTGAGTCCCATGGAATTCACACCACAAGTTAGGAACCCTTTGGATAGCATCCGATCGGATTGGTTTTGAAAATCATGCTTCTTTGATACTACTCATCGCTGACACCAATTCTACCAGGATAATGTTAAAGTTGTAATCTCACAACCTGGGGTGTACGGGATCTCGGGACCCGGGCTCCTCTTTATCTTGTAAGGATCTGCCATTCCGGCCACGATCCATCCTTTTATCGAAGGCAAACCTATTCGATGACTGGAACCCATTACTGCTATGCACTTTGGTCCTCTCGTGTGGTAGAAAACGACCCCTAGAAGACCTCCGATCTGCATCAAAGTTATTTTTAAACTTATCCTGATTTTTATCGCGATCCCGTCCTTTGGATAACACCAAAGAGACAAGTTGATCATCTTCTATCCTTATCTTTGTCTCGTAGCGATTATGGACATCCTCCCCTGTGGTTTCTTGAAACTCGAGCAAGCTCTCATTCAGTATTCAAGAGGCATCGGAACTCAGTCAATTTAGACCCTTCATGAGTGCCTCCACTGCCCATTTATCTGGAACCGCTGGTAACAACATCCTTTCTTTTTGCAACCGAACCACGAATTCTCGCAGCAGCTTGGATTTGCCTTGAGAAATTTTGAATATATCTGCCTTTCTGGCCTGGGCCTTTCTTGCTCCGGCATGAGCTTTGATGAACGAATCTGTAAGGATTTCAAAAGAATCGATTGAATGTTCGGGTAAGAGAGAATGGCAGAAAGCTCATGCTGGAGCAAGAAAGGTCCAAGCCAAAAAGGCCCCCTTCGTGAGGGTTTCGCCAAACTTCTTCAATAGAACCGACTCGATCTCATGTTGAGCCAAGTCGTTTCCTTTCATTGCCGTGGTGTAGGTTGTGATGTGCTCCTACGGATTCGAAGGCCCATCATACTTTGGTATGTCCGGCATCTTGAATCTCTTCGGGATTAACTCTGGTACCGCACTTGGTTTAAACGGTAATTTTGTGTACTTTTTTGAATCTGGACCCAATAACACCGGCGGGCACCCAGAATCCGATCCATCTGAGCATGAAACACCTTCGCACCTTGATCCATTCGTTCATTAATATGTCTCATGAATTTGATGAGCTCGGTTTTGAAAGTATCATTTAAGTTGTTGTTCTCCGATCCACTACCGGTCCCTCCGGCTTCGTCGAAATCGACTTCGTCCCTTAGGGAGTTGTTATCGGTTCTTTGAGTCGTTTGATTTGCAGGAACACTGGGAGGAATTGGGGCCCTTCCATTCGCATTATTGGAAGCACTCGACAATGCTTGTTTTAACTCCGTCATCATCCAATCTTCCTTGAGAGTTGATGCATGATTGCTCTTTAGTGTTCTCTCAGGTGTTTGATCGTTTCAACAATGTGTTCATCTTCCGCTTCATTAGGAGTTGGGCCCGCACATGCCGAGGGTACTGACCTTCATGAACCAGGGTTGTTTCATCCCTTTCGTTGTTGGTCTCGCTGATCGAGTCATCACGTTGGGACACATCTTCACGTTCATCGCGTGCTCCAACGATGTGAGCATCGTTGACATCATTAGCTACCATATCTTTGTTTTACTAAGGAAAAAATCGAAACTTATTAGTAACAAATGAATGGATCAAAGCAATTACGCAGCTGTCTATGCCCCACGGTGGTCGCCAACTTGTTTACTGTCAAACGGTACAGTTAAATTTATAACGTGATTTATAGACAAACGAATCGATTTGATCAAAAATTAATAAATAAATAAATAAGAACGAAAATTAGACTAATGTATGAAATTAAAGAAGATAACAAGCCTGCCTAAAGACTTTTAGCCTTTCCGATGACAAGAGCAATAATATTCAAGTGTTTGAATTCAGTGTCATAAGAGAATAAATTACAACTTTTGTATGCAGAATGTTTTATATCCCCCCCCCCCCCAATGGTTGTTAATCCTGTTATTTATAGCCTTACTTAGGGAGGAAAGATCCTAAAATCAAGCGCCTCTTGAATGAGCATAAAAACGTTAGTGATGAGTGCATAACGACTGGCTTTGAATACATATATTCTCTGTAAGGGTTGCTCATTAAATGCTATCCGACGTCAAACCTTTGAATTTTTAATATCAACTATGCTTCCTTCACGATCCATCTAGTGTCGGTTCCACGTTTCGCATCCGGTGCCAGTTATTTGCTGAGTCACCTTTTGCCTGTGTTCGGTTCCACATGTCACCTCGCCATTTGATCACCTATTATCAGCCAATTATATCACATACACGTAACTCTTGCCAAAAATAGGTATTTAATACTACCAAGAAGTGTGGTAGAATGGATGAGAGCATTAATATCTTTATGGCCCTACACGTTACGAGTTTGGATTAATCCAGCTAGTGAGCTTTGGATACCAGATACATAAAGTATAAACGAAAAAGAGTATTTCATACGATCGTAGTGTTGCATTTATTAGCTGCCTACTGCAACAAGACCTTCCATTGCACTAAAATTCAACTGTCATGTGAAACTTAGGATGCTTTCACAATATAATTGCCCCTGCTGACATACAAGTTTTTCAAGAGAGAACAATTTTAAGGTCTGCACTTCCCTTCAAGTTGTTCTGTTTTCACTACAATCGGCATCTGGAAGAAAGAAGAAATGGGGTGTCAACTTAGCTTTAAATGAAGCAAACCAGCTTTTTCCAGTTATTAAGCCTACCAGCAAAAATAAATAAGTATATAATAATAGATGCTTTCACAAGTCATTAACAAAACATTCTCTTCCCAACCTCAATAAGTAAATACATAGTGATACTAGATGCTTTCACATGTCATACGAAGTAGGCTCTGCAGCTGGAATGAATTGATCAGTCAAAAGGAAAGCACAATATTTGCACAGACGTCGTTATATGATTTAAACAAAGCTACAAAAACACGAGCTTGGGCACCAAATAACAGCTATACTTGGGAAATGAAAGGGGAAAAATGGACACTCCAGGTGAGTGACTCTTGACAAAGTTCTGCAGCTCAAACTTGAGAAAAAATGCACCAAATCTAAATACAAAGAAAATCAAACAGTTGGTGAAGCACTTGTGTGCTTGATTTTGGTTTAGGTTGATTATAACAAAAGAGTTTATAGGGTAGAGTCCATGGGGAACACTGCAAATTCAAGTTAAATCCAGTTCTGTATGTGTAACAAACAACATGCTGCAAAGGAAGTGTTTTACACAGAGCTGGATGAGCAATCCAGTTTTTTAATTTAGCCCTTGAGTTCAACTTTAGGGTCTGGCGACTCTTCGTAGGAAATTGAGATCAGCTCAGAGTATTTATCATCTCCATCAGCATTTAGCGCTTTAACAACATTCTCAGCGTGGCAGTTTCCAGGTCTAGATCGAACACAAAGATCCTTCTCTGGTTCAGAATAAGATATGGCAATTAGTGACTCCCTTGTCACTTCTTCAGAAATTTCCTTTCTAAATTCTTTCTTATCCATATAATAACTATCTTCCTCCTGTATGTATTAGATAATTGAATTAGAATATAAAGGAAATAAATTCTAAAATATGAACGAAGTAAAGCGTGTTTATCAACAATGGTGATTACTATAATCAAGACTCTGAGAACTTATAGAGTTTAGCAGCATATTAAATTAGTTTCAAGTTCCTTCTTTATATTGGCACTTTCTTTTAGTATACCACTTCCACTTTCATTCTGAACATGATCTAAACCAAAAAGGTTCTGACTCAAAATATTAACAAAAATAAACTAGACATAACATGAGATAGTCCCCAAGGAAAAAATGAACTTTTGCCAATTAATACTTTTGGACAACGGACACTCCTCTAAGCCATAGTTTCTGTAACAAGAGAAATATCAAACTATTAAGCAATGTGTAGACAATCACTGACTTACATATGATAACCACGATTAACATTGAAAGCATAGCATAAACTGCATCATTGTTCAATCTCGATGAAGGAGGGACAACTATAAAACCATGTTTCAGTGATAAGTTTGTGGGGCAAATGTCCTGCCTACCTCTCTCTACCTTCTTTATTTTCAAGCAAAAGATTTATTGGAGTTTAACTTCTGCAAACTGGTTAACTAGCTTTCAGAACTCCATATGTGCATACAGTTACAGCTTGGAAGACATAAATTTACATATTTAGTTTCTACATGCCCCCAGTTGACGTTCAATCTCTTACTTTTTTGGTATACAAGCTAATGTAACAACAACAACAACAACAACAACAACAACAACAACAACAACCCAGTGGGATCCCACAAGTGGGGTCTGGGGAGGGTAGTGTGTACGCAGACCTTACCCCTACCCTGGGAAGGTTGAGAGGCTGTTTCCGATAGACCCTCAGCTCAAGAAAAAAGAAATGAATACAAGCTAATGTCTTTTTACTAAAACAGATTGCTTTATTCCGCTGTCCACGTGTTAAAAACAGGTGGGCTACTATAACAGCAGCAAAAGTTTGGATAGAAATATGAAGCTAGAGGCCCCGAATTTGCCTATATCATTAAGTCTCTTAAAGATCAAATAGATAAGAGGGAGATCATCAGTTTGGAACATATGAGGACTGTGTTTCCACATATGAAACCATACTTCAAAGAATTAATCAAACCGTCCAAAGTAAAGAAAGAAAAGAACTAAATCAGCTGATTAATATTTGCTTTGCCTTTTCAAACCAAGAATTTCCAGCATCCGGAGTACCATATCCCCCCTCCCTGCTTGAGGCTAAATTGTCTTTCTTTTATACAGTATAAATATTATTGATAATTTGGGAAAAATCCCGAATACAAGAAGTATTCCAAATTAGAGAAACAAAGGTTCCAAACTGATGCTTACATATATAAACAACCACACATGCAGTTCTAGGCATCTTCCACAAAGAAAAGGAGAAGAAAACCTAGAGTTTATATACCAATATCTAGTGAAACAGACAGAGAAAGAATGCTTCTCATGATCCTCCAAAAAAAGCAGAATACATAGACGGACCTCTAAACTTGTCAGAAATTTTAATTTGGACACCTAAAGCAGGGGTTCGAGTTCGAAATATTGAACACCTTATGTCGTCACCAATGTGTTAAATAGACACATTTTCAACGACAAAAGGTGTTAAATAGGTTGGACCCCTGTTTAGTGTCTAGATGAAATTTTTTGACAAGTATCGGGCCGTCTATAAACATGCACTGCAGATCCATATTATCAATGAATTTTGGCTTTTCAACTATTGTGACCAATACAAGTTGATAAACAAAGATTCCCATCCGTTTGAAAACCTCAATTCAGGAATCGGAAAATGCATTAACAGCCACATTAATTGCAACATCCTGAAACAACAACTTCCTGTCGGTATAATGAGGGAATAACATCCCAGCTACTTAGAACACATAGCTAGAGTGCATACTAAAGAATAGTAGGCAAGCATATTAGATATAATAACTTCTTGTGATAAAGCTGGCGAAGATCGTTATGTAACATCATAAGTGCTTAGAAGAAATGGGTGGAATGCTATACCGAAGGCAAGAATAAGACTAAACCAATTTGGAGTGGGAGCATTCACCAAATATACAGTCTCTGTTAGAGCCAAACGAAACAGGTTGGATATGAGACAGAAGAGGGGCAGGTGAAGTCTTTTACAATTTAAAGCTGCAAAACGAACAAACTTAAAAGACAGGGGAAAGATGCCTCTGCAACTGAACGGACTTTTCCTTCACATAGATCACTCCCAATTATATGACCACCCTAGGCTAAGCTTGCTAATCACATCCAAAAGCTTAACAGAACAATAGAGTATGTTGCTCGGGACCTTCAAAAATACCGCCGGGTGTGTCTCAAATCCTCCAAAAGTTCTGCATTTTTGGAGGATATGACACAGGTGCGCCGGCATTTTTTGAGGATCCGAGCAACATAGACAATCGACAAATTATTCTAAAAAGAATTAGTCACAAGAACTACCACTCTAAAAGCAACAACTGCTGCTGCTACTACTACGCCTCAACCCCAACTAGTTGGGGTGGTCAATATGAATCCTAAATATACATTTCTCTCAATTTTCACCCACCACCCTGAAACAAGAAAGTACAAGTAATTCTCAAACTGGGAAATGCCTTTCAGAGCTCTGTGCACTTACAGTACAACCATTATGCCTCATTTTCATCCTATTCCTATCTTTCAAACAATGTTTTTTCATTTTCGGGACTATATAACTACACTAAGATACCATAATTCCGTTAACTCATCATTTATATCCATTCTATACCTTTACATTTTCGACATTCTCACTAAAATTAGGTAGAACCCCTTTTGTATCTTAGCCATTAAGTAAACTTACAACATCACTTTCTTTTTTAGTCACGCACATATTTCTATATTTAAACATAATTTAACTTCAAAATTCTCATTTTACTCGTAACCGTTATACCATAAGTTTCAAAAATCTTTATTTTTAAAATTTCGACCCAGTATAGTGCAGCTACAAAGGGAACCCTTAAATCCCACAAAAACCCATCATAATTAGAGCTTCAAATTTGCAAATCTTGAAATTCCCAAAATACATCCTCTTCTATATCAGTATTTCAAACAGAAACTCACATTTCGTATAATGAGATAATTCAAGAGAGAGAAGAGAAAAGGGGATTTTACCGAATGCGAATTCTTGAAGGTGCTTTCAGTCAGCGTTCGGCTCTTTCGTCAACACAATCATATCTTCTTTCCTTTTATAATAAAAGATTCGCAACGATAATACGAGCTGGAAACACGCAAGCAATACATCTTACGAGCTGGAAACTATAATAAAAATTTGTCTTAAGAGCTAAGCTTTTTTGTCGTCACCCCTCAAGTTGCTATCGTACCTATTGGTGTAGATTCTATTTTTATCGGCACTTTCCTCCCAATTATATTCAACTCTCAAATTGATGTTTTTTAAAATATTTCTCTTCATCAATTTGCTTATTAAAAAGTGTAATAATTCCTAAAGGCAGGGTGGAAAACGTGTAGAACAACATTTAAGAGTTGACTCGAATTCCACTTGATTTAACTCGGCTAGGCTTGGTGTCAAGAAACACAATAGGTGTGAATGTGATTTAGCTCAATTGAGACAACAAATTAGGTTCGACCTGATTTGGCTGCACTTGATATCTGGAACTTACTAACAACTTGAATTTTATTCGTTTAAAACTTTTTTTTATCAGCCTTTCTTTCCCTCCCCTTTTTCATACCTTGACATCACGAAAAAATAAAATAAAAAAGATCCAATTGCACCATGGGGATTAGTTAGTTATCATTACGTAATGTATATTAACAAAGATATGTGTGTTTACCCGTAAAATGGTATAATTAAATTTATAGCGTGATTTATAGACAAACGAATCGATTTGATCTAAAAGGATCAATAAATTAAATAAATGAAAGATTTAGCGTTGAAATCGAGATAAAATAGCAAACAACTTGGTTCCGGGAGCAAGGCTTCCGAAGACAGCAATAAGAATATTGTTAGACAAAAAATAAAGTATTATTTAGCTTGGAATAATGTGTAGCATAAGTTTGTTAGAATTTTCGTGTGTCACAATGGCTATTGAAGTCACTATTTATAGCTATACCTAGGGAACAAAGTCCTAGGATCAAGCCCATCTTAAATGACCATAATGGGGGCCATTGATGAATATATAATGACAGGTTATGAATGCCAAAACCCTCTGTAACGGATTCTGTATTTAATACTAAGAAATATTCTTCATTGAATGTCATCTGGTGGAAAATATTTGTTTGCCCTCGTTAACAATGTTCCCTTCAGGGTCTGCCCGGTGTCAACCGAAGTTGTTGTCCCCAATCTTGATTTTTACTCGCTTCATCTTTCGTCTGTCTCCGGCTCCACGTGTCATTCTATCATTCAAGTATTTAATGTGAACCAATTTTACCATATACATATAGTTCCCCTGCTTTCCAGTGGCACATCTTTGTGTTATCGGGAAGTTGGTGAAGATTACTTTCTTGGTGAAAAATTTTCTAAACCCTTTTGAATATGTCTCTCCGCATTTAATACCCCAAACATGTATTACTCCATGATTTAGCAATATTTTCGTCGGTTCTTGAGGTAATCATGGCCACAATTTTAGCCGCATATTCCTTTACTTATACGCCTCATTCTTCTTCTTTTATACTTCACAGTTCTACAAACTCTCTCAACTTCTTTGCATTCAACTCTTTTCTGCTTTCACTCTTTTTTAATCTTCTTCTTTAAAGAACTCTTATCACCTTTTGTTGATCATGACTTCTTCTTCCAAGAACTTAGGTTTTCTCTCTGGTGGGGGTTCGAAGGAGAACAAAGACAAAGAAATCACTGTTGATGTTGACCCCCTACGGTGAGCACCATCATTCCCAAAAGACTCAACACAACCAAGGACTTCGAAGAGAAGTTCCCTTCTTCAAGTTCTCGCACTTGGGATGTTGGCATATACCCGTCTTCCATCCGCCTTTCCAGCATTTCTATTGTGAACGAGGATTGTGATTGTCATGATCTGAACATCATTGCTCCCGAACTGGTGGAGCGAGTAACCTTCTCTAAGAAGGGCTTCATGTACGTTTATACGTACCCATTTACTTTGGGTGCATTTTCTTGGGAGTGGGGGAATTAACCCCATGATTTTGGAGTTGTGCTACAAATACGAGGTTTGCTTGGCACAAGTGGGTCCTTCTGTATGGCGAACGGTGGCCTGTCTACGGCGGTTGTGCCAGGAGACGAAGGAGGAGCTCACCTGCGCTCGCATGATGAATCTCTACTCCTCCAAGATTTTCCGTGAGGGAGTCATAAATTTTAGCAAACGTGGCCACCATGCTTTGCTCACCAGCATGGATGACGATAACGACCGTGGATAGATGGAGTGATTTGTCGTTGTTTCCACCAGGGATATTATCCTGGTGATACAATCTAGATAGCCGTCGAGCAATTTGGATTCTAATTAGAGGCAACTTTCATAACGGGGCGACTATATGTACAATTTCAACAAATTAAAGACTACATTACATTTGGTGGCTATACTTGTAATATTTAGCTCCCTAGTATAAATAGCCATTAAGGCTCTTATTTTAGACTTAGCTTATTTCGATATTGAGATTATGAACTCCTTGAGTAATTATTATGATGAATTCCATTGTTGATTGGAAACCTTTAAGGTAGCTTTTGTGGGAATTCTTCCCCTTGAGGGTTATCCTATAGTTTAAGGTTGATTAGGATTTAAATTGAAGTATATTTATGTTTGATTTCAAGTGTTCTTCAATTTCCCTAATTAGTTCTTTGTTAAATTCTATCTTTCTCATTTTTATTTGTGTTCTAGTTAATTTTTCTTCCGCGTTCGTATCATCTTGGTATCAGAGCAAAGGTTAAAGGATTTATTTCTATAAATTCTTTGATTATTTGCACTAATTTTCATATCCAAAAAAAAAAGAAAGGAAAAAAGAATCGATTGAATCGTAAGCTGTGACTCAAGCATTCGAAGACTGATTTGAGAGGAACGAATTTGAGCTGCAGGGTTATAGCAAATCAAATCATAGCTGTGATTCTCTAAAATCTCAGATCTAGTGAGAAACTTGCATACCTGGTTTGAATTATTACTACAAAAAAGCACTTGTGCAAGCTGCGGACTTGATTTGAGTATTTGGCTCACAAATTTTCAGATCTGTGAGTTTGTGCTCTTCAAGTAAAGAGTTGTATTTTAAAAAAAAAAAAGAAGCTGAAATTGGTTGCTTTATGTTGGAGTGGTTGCTGCTAAATTACGAGTCCATTTAGAGGATACCTATTAATCTGATAGCTCAAAACTTGAATGAGAAAGCTAAAACTTCCATCATTGAAGTTCGTTGTTGCGGCGAAACATTTGTGAAGCTAACTGTTTGTTTAACTCCTTCATTGGGCCTAATTTTTGAGTCTAAAAATGCGAGTCTCTATTGATTTGGTTGACTAAAACTTGAAGAAGGATTGGACAGCCATTGCAGCTCAAGCGAAGCTTCAAAGTAAAAAACATATATACATAAAATCGAGTTTCCGCAAATGAGATTTGTCTCAAGTGGGTGTTCTTGCAAAGGATCGGGTACGTCTTGATGAGCCTAAATCTAAAATTTGGGGCTGTTTGGAGTATATTTGAAATGGTTTTAGGGAATAATTCAATGCTAGCTCTAGGTTGAAGATGATGAACAGTGTGCTGCAACTGTGCATTTTGCAAATTTTCAGCTTTCTGTTTTGGGCCATTTTAGTTATTTTCAATTCCTTTTCATTATATTGTGTTCCATGGCTAGTTAACATTAGTAATTAGTTCTACTTGTGTTAATCTAGTTAATTTGATCCGTTAATCTCATTTCATGCTACTTTTAATTTGTGCTTTTCTCTTTTTGTTTCGTTGTTAATTTCTTGTTTCCGTTGTCCGTTAGTTATTTTAGCTTCTTTATTGAGTCACATAAACTCCATTCTCACCCCCAAAGTTGGAAGAACCACTTGAAAGTGCCTTGATTGAGTTTGATATCAACTTTGGTTATTCATCCAAGAGTGGAAAAAGGCTTGAGTGGTGAGATTCTTAGAGTGCATGCCTAAAAGCCAAGTGCACAAGAGTGATATACGAGTGAAAAAACTTGAGTGAAACATTTGAGGGATACACTAAGGGAGTGAATTGTAGAGGTCTTTTAATTTTTTTAAACTTGTTTTCTTTGTTTGTAGGTACTATGTCTTTGAATATTTGAGGTACTTCAACTCCAAAGGAGGGAGTCTCTAATGAGACCATTTTGGAGGCTTTACAAGCTTTGATTATAAAAGTTGACAACATGGAATATATGGTCAAGTCACATGACAACCTTCTTAACCAATGGCAAGGCTTGTCACCTAATCTTAACCAAGGAGTGGGAACTAGTTCAACACCACAAATAAGTTCTACTCCTACCGCACCACACATTGCAAGCCTAATCAATCAACCACAAGTTGATAACAATCAAGTACGAAGACAAGGTCCACTTTCACAAGGTAGACAAGAAAGAGTTAAGCATCAACAATAATCACTTAGGCCACAACAACCGCAGAATGACTTTGATGATGATTTAGACTATGACGAGCAATATGATGAACCGGTTAGACTCCAACCTAGAAGGAATGGACAAGGAGGCTTTAGAGGGAGAGGTGGAAGGCATGGTAGGAATTATCAAGATAGAAACTTGAATGATGCTTATGATTATAGTTATGATGGAAATGTTGGTAATGAAGAACATGGTAGAAGATGGGAATATGAAGAAGACCGGGATCTTAATAACATCAAGACTTCACTTCCTACTTTCAAGGGAAGTAGTGACCCCGAGGAATTTTTAGAATGGAAAATACAAATAGAAAGGATGTTTGAACTTAACAATGTATCTGATACAAAGATGTTCAAGCATGCCATTTCTAAACTTGTTGGTTATGCTTCTTCTTGGTGGGAGAAAGAGAAATGAGATAGAAATAGAAATGGAGATATTGCTATTGATTCTTGGGGGTTTATTAGGGTGGTTATGAGAGCAAGATTTGTGCCCGAAGAGTATGTGAATGACTTGCTTACCAAATTTTACAACATGAATCAAGGAAACAAGAATGTGGAGGCTTACATTGAAGAGTTGGAGACAACTAGAGTTAGAGCTAATCTTGATGATAATTGAAGACTCATGATTTCTAGATTTTTGGCGGAGCTTAAGCATGAAATCTCTAGCCAAATGACTTTGCACAAATTTTTACTATACATGAGGCACTCCAAGGGGCTATCAAAATTAAAAATAAACTCCAAGAAGAGAGGCAACTCAAAGAGAGCAAATTCAAAAGTTACAAACTCCATGGAGTAAAAACAAGGAAATTTGGCAATCTCTTCCAAATGACAACAAGCCAAAAGTTGACTCCAAGTGCAAAAATGACAAAGGCAAACCAAAGGTGGAGGCTAAGGAGGGAGGTAACAATTCTAAACCTTATTTCCAAAATCCTAACTCTAATAGGTGGTACAAATGTCAAGGATATGGTTATAAAATGGGTGAATGTCCTAATAGAAGAACCATAATCTTTATGGAAGAAGCTTATGAAAGGGAAGAAAGTAGAGAATCATGTGAAGAAGAGGAGGCCGAATGTGATGATGAAGTAGAATATGACACTCCTAATTTACCTTTGTATGTTGTTAGGAGAGTGTTGAGTGCACAAGTGATGGAAGATATGACCCAAAGAGAGAACTTGTTTCATGCAAGGTGTAAAATTAAAGATCAAGTGCGTTCTTTGATTATTGATGGTGATAGTTATGCTAATGTTGCTAGTGTTTCTATAGTTGACAAATTGAACTTGAAGACTCAAAGACATATTCATCCTTATAAACTCCAATGGCTTAATGAATGTGGTGAACTTAAAGTGACTAGACAAGTCTTAGAGAGTTTCAAAATTGAAAAGTATGTTTATGATATTCTTTGTGATGTAGTGCCCATGCAATCATGTCATTTATTGTTCGAGAGGCCATGGCAATATGAGAAGGATGCTCTCCATGATGGAATGACTAATAAATATTCTTTTGAGGAAAATGAAAAAAAATAGTCCTTACTCCTTTGACTCCGTTTCATGTGAGTGAAGACTATAGGCATATGAAAGAATTGAGTGAGAGAGTCAATAAAGAAGGAAAAGAAAAAATTGAAAAGAAAGAAGAGAGAAAACAAGAGAGTTCAAGTGAGGGACATTCTTTCAAGTGTTAGTTTGGGTACATTTATTGATTCTAATGATTCTTTGAGTTGTGAAGATACACTAGATAGTGATTCTAGTTGTTTTGATAGTTTGAATGACCTATTTTCTTATGAAGAATCAGATTGAGGTTGAGAAAAGCAGAAAGGTTGTATTTTTATGTGATTTTGTTGAGTTTGATCCATTGATTCCTATTATTCATGCTTTCTATTTTGAGGATCATTCTTTAATTGGTGATGATTGCTTATTTGAAGGTGAATTGAGTGGTAAAGTTTTAAGCTTTAAGCCATTTGATTCTTTCTTGTTTGATTGTGAGATGGAATCTTTTTAGTTTGATTTGGATTTACCAATCAAAGGTTCCATTTTTAAGAAGTCGTTTGAGATTACTAATAAGATTGTTTTGGAAGCTAAACTTTTTGAAAAAGAAGAAAGTTCTTTACTTGGTGTAAACTTTCTAACTTTTTTCACTCATATATTTGATAGAGCTAATTTATTCCATTACACTAGTGCTTTGTGTTTAAAACAAGTTAATAACTTTCATGTGGATTGGTGTTATGAGTTTAAGAAAAAATATGCTAAATCTTTCTTGAATGATAATATTGGCGAAGCTAAGAAACTTGTTTTGTTTGAACATATCATTCTTATTCTTGATTTTTCATGTCGGCTTGAATTCAAGAATGGCTTGTTTATTTGGTTTATGCTTATGCTTGGACTTGATAAAGCTACGAGAGTTAATACTTTTCTTGATGATTCTTATATTGGGGCACACTTGGTGTGTAGATTGGAGGTATTTCATGATAATTCTCATCTTTTGGTTACCTTTTATGCTTTGTTTTGTCCATGAGTATCATTAGATTTTGGTTTGAATGGTTGATTTGTCTTACTTATTGGCTTGGATGCTTGGATTTACAATAAATCCGTTAACATATGGTTTGCTCGTTAGTTTGAGGCACTTGTTTATGTCCAAATTGAAATTTTACTAATGGAAGCTCCCTTTCTTTTGCTTAAAGGTCCAAATTCGGGGACAAATTTATTTTAAGGGAGGGAAAATGATACAATCTAGATAGCTGTCGAGCGATTTGGATTCTAATTGGAGGCTACTTTCATCACGGGGAGACTATATGTGCAATTTCAACAAATTAAAGACTACATTACATTTGGTGGCTATACTTGTAATATTTAGCTCCCTAGTATAAATAGCCATTAAGGCTCTTATTTTAGACTTAGCTTATTTTGATATTGATATTATGAACTCCTTGAGTGAGTGTATGATGAATTCCATTATTGATTGAAAACCTTTAAGGTGGATTTTGTGGGGATTCTTCCCCTTGAGGGTTATCCTTTAGTTTAGGGTTGACTAGGATTTAAATTGAAGGGTATTTGTATTTGATTTCAAGTGTTCTTCAATTTTCCTAATTAGTTTTTTGCTAAATTCTATCTTTCTCATTTTTATTTGTGTTCTTGTTATTTTTGCTTTCGCGTTCGTATCACCCGGCCACAACTCCATCTTTCCCCGAGTCTTGGACTCATACACATAAGTTCAAAGTCGGTCTTTTTTTTTTTCCTGAAAAAAGATTGTTTCATGTCGTTGTTGATCCTTCTCTTTCATTATTTCAGCAACTCGGTGGACACCACCAAGGGTTAAAGGCTTAGACCAGTAGGTTCAAAAGATTCTAGATATTACCATGTGTGAGACCCGCCGATGGAAAGAATTGGCCCCCAAATACAGGTGGAAGGCCAAAAATCATGGTAAGTTCACTCATGAAATTGATTTTGTTCTCATCTCATTTTTGTGCGTAAGAAAATTGGTTAACCTTTTTTCATTGAATTCAGGTCTCCTACGGGGCTCTATTACCATCCATGAGTAGGATATTTTGGCTGATCCCGCGGAGGCTGCAAGGTTGCTGAAGGAGGCTTTCACCCGATCTGACACCATCAGATCAACTTCCGGTGCAAGCTCTTCATCTCAGAGTCCGCGGCCGGAGAACAAGCAACCAAAAAGGTATCATTCTTCCTCGGCCAAGGGCAAGAATAAATAGCTGAAGAAAGTCGTGCCCAAGCCATCCACAGTCATTGTAGTGATTGATGATGATGATGATGATGAGGAAGCCAGTGATGAAGGGGTTTCCCTACGAAGGATACAACGACCTTCATCAGTTCAATATAATGCTCAATCTGAAGAGGTTATAACCCCAAATAGGGAAGATGCCCAAGCGCTCTAGGAAAAGTTTGACTTGGTGGAGAATGCCAATTCTCCCTTTTCAGTCCCAGTTGCTGCTCCTGATTCTATGAGGCTGAGTATCGGGCCTCTTCCATCTTTGGTTGGTGAGCAACTAATAACCAGCACTGCCTTTGCCGCAGCTGCTTCTCAACCCATACCACCATAACTTTATCTCCTTCCACGCCGGCCATAATTCGTCACCAGTAACTGCTACGTCACCCCTACTAGCCGCAGACACCTGAGAGGAGGATGTCCCTCATCCCTAGTCCCCATACCATGGGAATTTTGGGCACAACTATTCGCCCCCTTCTGCAGATCCCCAGAGGAGGAGGAGTGTCTCCCTCTCGGTATCTACCGAGCTCCATCTCTTGTCCTGACAGGTGGAACTCGCCAATTACCTGAAGCCAATGGATTCACAAAAAGATAAGAAGAAAATAAACTCTCTTTCGGGGGAGTGTATGATATATAATTCCATGCACAATGTAGTAACGATATTGTACTTGTTCTTTTTACTATTTATTTCCTTTTGACTTGCTATGACAGAGTTTCTAACTTGGGCTTTGCTTCGCAGGCCAACTTCCTTGCTTCCAAGGGCCTTCAGAAGTTGATCCTTGACAAAGAAAATCGTAAGTTCAAGCGGGATCAACTATTGGCCGGAAGGGACCAAATTGCTGCTCGTCTCCCAGTGTTGGAAGCAAAAGCTACTGAAGATGGTGAGTTAGAGGCTCGGTTGCAGCAGAGTGAGCAGGAAGTGATGGCCCTCAGCCAAGAAGCCTCTTAGTTAAATGTACAGTTTTAAGAATCCAAGGTCAAATGGTCTGAGGTCCAAAATGTTGTGCTTGCTGCTGCCGAGCGCGGGGCTACTTGCACTAAGAGATTGAATAACTTAGAGTCAGCCTTGAATTCCAAAGCTGAAGAGGCTACTGCTGCTGAGGAGAAGCATTCCCAGCTGGAGGATAAGTGTAAGAGGGTCATGGAACACTATAAGGTTCATATAACCACTATCTGTGACCTTGATCTCAGCCTTAGGGCCACGAGATCCGAGTGAGATGGCCTTTCGACCGAGGTTGATCGGCTTAAATAAAAGATTCAGTGCCGAGCGGATTCACTCATCATAAAGAAAACACATTCTATGTATATCATGAGGACTAAAACCTTGGAAGAGGCCAAAGCGGGCGTCATTGATATTGACGATGAAATCGCTAAGGCCCGAGAGCTGGAGTTAACTGCTCGAAGGCGCCTCACGGCTCAGCCTAATGTAACTGACTCTTCTGGTTCTGATTCCGAGTTCTTGGGAACCAAGGAGGAACTTGAAGAGGACAATGATGAAGGCCAAGATTCCGAGTCGATGGCAGATCCGCCTACTTCT